ACGATTTCACTCAATTCGTCCCGGTCATCAAAAGGCAGTTTATTCTCGGGAGGTATGGTGACAATTAGAGCAGTACTTAGCCCAATTTGTGTATCAGCCTCCCAAAGAATTGTCACTTTTTATAATCACTGTTCCATTTGCTATCCTAGGAGATACCCAAGGTCCTGACACCACAGGTTTAAATGGAATGAAGTACAGGGGGCTAGAGAAAAAAAAATTAAAACCTGATCTCAATTTTTCCTTTCATCTTCTGCACTTCTCAGTTCTTTCCCTCCGCCCAAATCTGATGGCCCTTGCCTGCTTAAAGTCCTTCCACACTCTCTACCGCCCACAGGATAAAATCCAAAGCTTTAAAAACGAGACACACAAGGTCCTCTCCCACTACACTTCCTTCTGCTTTCTCTTCCCCTTCGGCGCACAGATTCATGGAACTACTCTTCCAGCGAAACGTCCTCTTCCCAGCCTCTGTTTTGCGCACACAGCAGTTCGCTCTTCCCGGGGCCGCTCAGTTCCCCACCCGGCATGCTTCTAGCTGCTGGGCCCGGACACCCGCTGCTTCTATGCTGCCCTGGCTCCACGAACATCACCTTGTAGTGCACACTCTACTGTAAATGCCAGTTTTGCTTGTCTTCCCCATCAGAGAGGAGCTTTGAGAAGGCCCCTTTCTTCGTCACCGCAGCTTCCCTCTTGCCCAGCATCAGGAGAGCACCAGTTTTGGAAAGGACTGGACACTGGCCGTCGGAACCTAACCCGTGGGAGCCGGCACTGCCGCCGTCCTCCACCCCCACCCTTCCCGGACCTGGCGCTCTTCCTTCCGAGGTGGCGGGAGGCGGGCAGGCGGCGCCTGGCGCTCTGACAAGGCGGGGCCTCCTGCACTGGAGGCCTTGCGGGCCATCACCAGGATTTTCGGGAAAGCCTGTCCCTGGCTTTCTTCCCCGCCCGTCTCCCCCACCCCCTCCCCTTCCCCTGTGGCCCGTGCTCACCCCTCCCGAAGAGTCGGCCGAGACCACTCATGGCCCCTGCCCGTCCTGCCTCTGCCCCACGGCGTCCTGCACACTTCCGCCTTGTTCCTGGGAGCCTGCATCCCAGCGCTCAGAGACCCGCCTCGGCCAATCCCTTCTTGGGGCTCCGCTGCGACATCACCCGGCGCCAAGGAAGCCACTGCTGTCACGTGACGCGAGCCACCAGCCCCAAACCCGCAAGCTCGGTTCAAAGCAGCCGCTTCAAACAGGCTGTCCAACCTATGAGGGCTGGGGGGCGAGGGGAGGGGCAAGAGATCAACCACAGGACTTGTATGCATGCATATGAGCTTAACCAATGGACACAGACAGGGGTGGGGGTGAGGGCATGTGCTGGAAGAGTGGGGGGGTGGGGGTGGGGGAGCCGCCTGGGAGAGATCAATGGGGGAAAAAGACTTATGTAATACTTTAAACAATAAAGAATTTTTAAAAAGTACAAATTAGTAGTTACAAAATAATCATGATATAAAGTACAGCAAAGGGAATATAGTCAATAATATTATAAGTATGTATGGTGTCAGGTGGGTACTTGAAATATTGGGGGGATCACTTTGTAATTGTCTAACCACTATGCTGTACACATGAAACCAAAACAAAATAATATTAAATGTAAACTGTAATCAAAACTAAAATTTTAAAAATAAAAAATAAATCCACACACACAAATAAAAAAAATAAAGCAGCCACTTCACTTTGAAGTATGCTGCCCCCCCACCCCCCACCCCCCAAAAAAACTGTTTCCTGGAAGGAAATGTGCAGGAGACAGTGGAAAACTTGGCTCTTCATGCCCTGGACAGCTCAGGAGAAGGAGTGGGGATGGGCCAGTACAAAGGGACAGAGTCCTGGGTTTGCCACAAGGCTGTAAGGCAGAACCTGATGCAGTCTAACCCTCACACTCTGGGTAGCCAACCCTGGTCCACACGCAAGAAAAACAACTCCACACTGTGATAAGATTTCTTGTCACACAAATACACTTTATAATTTACACATGCACCTGAAAATGCCTTCCTGGTTTCCTTGAGTTTTATGTCTCAAATGAGGCTCAAACGCAGGACTGGACCTCAGGGTCCAGCGTGGGCCTTTGCAAATGTCTCTAGTCCTTGAGTTAGGACTTGAAGACTCATTCCATTCTGAACATGAATGCAGGTAACACCTAGAAAGAAAAGAGATATTTTACACCTCGTTTCTCCTAGGAACCCTTTCTTCCCCCTTTCCCAAATGGTTATTCTCACCACTCAGTACCCAGTTTGCTGACGTCTACAATATTCCGCTTCTCATCATCAAAGAAGATCATCTGGGAGAAAGGAACTCCAGTCTTCTGCTGCAGCCTGTGCAAGGCAGGGCAGGGCAGGGCAGTAACCAAGCTGGCTTCTTAGTTCTTCCAGTCTCTCTGCTCTTCTCTCGCCCTGCTTCTCCCCTCATCTCCCTCATACCTCTCAAAGTGTGTGACCTTGCTGCCTGGATAGATTTCCCTTTGAACAAAGTATCTGGCAAGGTCAAAGAGCTCCAGTAGCTGGTTGGCCCCTTCTATTTCACCTGTCCTGCAAAAAGGTGTAGTAGATGCGATCAGGAGGGTGGAGGGCCCGAGCTGCAAGTGAAGTTATGTATCACCAGGGGGAAATCAACTTGCTATTTCCCCAGGATGGATGGACAGGCTTTCTAGGTCCTTATTCCACTTCCAATCCTTCCTGACATAGATGGTGCTAAGCCAACGTTGAATAAATAAAAGGCACAGGGGAAGTCATAATTTTAAAAATGTACAATACCTGCAAATTTCCCACCGCCTACATTTTTGTAACCAAGGGTTAACACAAGAAGTCTCACGCATGCATCTGTCAACATTAGATTGAGGTTTTTTTCAGTTGTTCTTACCGTGAAGCGGCTGCCATGGGTACCCCAAGGCCTCGAAATCGGTCCAGGACCTCGGGCACCTCGGGGTACAGTCGGATGGTCCTGCCTTGCCTATCTCGTACAGTTCCATCACTGGAGAAGGCGAGAACGCACTCAGCTCCGGCGCGACCCTCCGGCCCGTCCTCCCCAGCCCGCCCTCACCTGCTCTTGTGGAATGGGGGGTCTACGTGCGTGTCCACCCAGAATGGCCAGAGCGTGTAATCTGCGTGGGGAAGAAAGGGGAGGGTTCAGCCTGGAGGGGGCAGGGACTCGAGAACTGGAACTGGGGTTTGGAAAAGGAGAGCGCCCTACGAAACTCTCCGCAGCAGGGTCCCTCACCCAGATCGAAGACAGCGAGCTTAGGAAGCGGCGCCATCACCGGCGCCCACGGGCTGCGTGCAGGGAGGCGGGGCCTTCTCTGGGGCCACAGATACCCTCCGACAGCGGTCACCCGAAGGCCGTGCAAGAGTGCCATCTGATGGTGGAGGGCGGGAAGGACTGCAGCAAGTGCCAACGCGACCGCGCGCTGGACCACAGCGGTCTCCGTTTCTCCTTCCCTTACTTCTCTGCTTCACCCAGTCTCCCGAGGTTCTACTAGAGACGCCAGGGAAAGGCAGACCTTTTTCTGGCACCGGTCCCTCATTTCACCTTACCAACTAAGACAAGTGGTCCGTCATTGCTGTGTCACTCCTCACTCAACCTCTGTTCCTATCAGCGTCTCTCCACAGTATAGAGCCCAGAGCCCTCAGCAATACTCCAGCCACAAAGAATGTGGTATCTGTAAAACCCTTCAGGCCTTTCTCAAGTCAGGCCCAAATGTTTAGTAGGTCCACAACAGGAGCTAATTCACTCTCCTGGTTCCTACCATGTCAGCAGTATGATGATAGATGTTTAACAACCAGTTTGGGGGGAGAAACTGATTTTCATTGTTTGCCAATTACTATAAATATTCTACCATGGCCAATTTCAAGCTACCAACATGAAGTTACTTAATTTGGGGTTGTAAAGAGATGCCAATAGTTAGCTCTCATGAACTGGTGAGATCTGGCACCACTGACAGTCTGGTAATCATTCTGAGGGCACATTCCCTTCCATTGTCCTACTCTTTCAGCCTGGTAAAACTGGGAAGTCCATTTTGACTTCAGTCATGTTTGTATAACAGAAGAAAGATTCCAGGAGGCCAGGAAACATTTTATTGACAACCAGGGACATAGCCATAAGAGAGGGAAGTACACAGGACTGCAACTAAAACCCAAGAGCCAGCAGGGGCCATCTGGGACAGGAACACTGCATCCTGGGG